CTACCAGGGGGTAATCAGTTGACAGCTCAGCTCCTCTCTTCACCCGAGTGTCCAAAACAAACGGCTGCAAATCAGATGACACAATAATGAAGTCAATCATCGATCTATGACCTAGGGCGTCATGATGCCAAGTGCACTTATGGATAATCTTATGTTTGAACATGGAGTTCATGATGGACAAACTATGACTAGCACAGAAGTCCAACAGAACACCGCTTTGAGTCAGATCAGAGAGGCCATTCCTCCCAATCACGCCCCTCCAGGTCATACTGTCATTACCCAAGTGGGCATTGAAGTCCCCCAGCAGAATGAAGGAGTCCCCAGCTGGCGCACCTTCCAGCACCCCTGCCAAGGACTCCAAGAAGGTGGGATACTCTGAACTACAGTTCGGCGCATAGGCACAAACAACAGTCAGGGCCCATCCCCCCACCCGAATGCGAAGGGAATCCACCCTCTCATCTACCAGGGAAATCTCCAACACACAGGCACCAAGTCAGGGCGTTACATGTAGACCCACATCAGTTCGACGCCTCTCACCATTGTAGTAGTGTCAAGGTCAGCTTTCTGACCCTCCACTACTAATTATTTAAATATAATGGGTTCTCTCTTGGACAGCACGGTGGCGCAACTGGTAGAGCTGCTGCCTCTCAGCGAACAGGTCCCTGGTTCAAACCCCGGTCCAGGGGCGTTCTGGGTGGAGTTTGCATGTTCTCTCCGTGCATGCGTGGGTTTTCTCCGGGTACTCCGGTTTCCTCCCACAGACCAAAAACATGCATGTTAGGCTGATTGGTAACTCTAAATTGTCCCTAGGTGTGAGTGAGAGAGTGAATGGTTGTTTGTCTCATTTGTCTCTATGTGGCCCTGTGATGGACTTGCGACCTGTCCAGGGTGTACCCCGCCCCTCGCACAGTGATTGCTGGACATGGGCACCAGCGACCCCCGTGACCCAACATGGAATAAACGGGTAAAGATAATGGATGGATGGATGGGTTCTCTCTTTTTCGAGTTAAATTTCTGCCATGTGACGAGGTACTGTGAGGAGTGTTTAAATCAGTGACATGAGACGTTAATTTCCTTTGACCCATCAGAATAAATGTGGTCATTTATTTAACAGAATCAAAATTTAACATCAAAACATGTACACGTGATTAGCTGATCTGGTTCTGATTAATAAAACTTGGCACGCTTTACTAATAAGACAACAAGACATTTCTGAAGGCATCTAGATTACTGGCAAAATAGACAAGTTTAAAGGAAGGAATGAAGAGTTTAAAGGGAGATGGATGAAGGAAAGATGTATGTTTTGTTTACCAGAATTAGCACGCTTCTTTCAACACCCGCTCAAACCTCTGGTACACTTAGTGCGCGACAACTTGTGACGTCTCTTTACCTTTGCAGATGATGGATCAGCTCTGGTCTAGATGTCCCTATGCACGCTACCTTTCAGCGTCTCCGGTAAGAGCGGCTGGCCATCGTCAGAAGTCGTGTGGTTTACTCCGTTCAACAGAACAAGCTCCCTTCGAGGTTGTAGGGCATTATGCCCGGGTGGATTCACAGCAAGGCTGTGAGTCCATCAGATTTTCCACTCAGGAGTGGAAGACTCCACAAGGCGGAGTAGACTGGAAGACTAGACTGGCTAGACTCGACTGGCTAGACCCCAACTCGACTGAGTAGTTCCAGGAAGTGTGGACTTTTAAAGAGTTCTCACTTCCGGTCACTCAGGACTTCCTGATTGGTTGAAACAACCAACAGGGGGTGGGTTTCAGTGATGTCAGAGGGTTATTAAAAGTCAAAAAGACAGCAGGAATGTTTAGGAATGTTTAGTACAGACAGAGAAATGTTTTGAAGAAGTGAGAGCAAGCAGGTGCCAGATGCTTCTTTTTTACCGTCTGCTAGATTTAAAAACAACACAGCCTGTTCTAATAACTTCCCTCCGACTGTCTCCGACTTTTGACGACATCACTACTTCTCCTTTAGACAGAAAATCAAAATGCATAATTACTTTGTAAATAGACATTTAACTTGATTTCTAATTTAAATGAGGTGTAAAAAATCATTAATACTGTTTCACAGTTGATTTAAAATGAGTAGTTCACTTCAACTTTAGAAATGATATGAACTAAACACACTTTTAATTATCAAGATATTGTAAAATAATAATGATAATATAAAAAGAAGAGTGTTCTTTCAATTGATTACTTCAGGATACAATTAGACAGTCTCTGGATGAGCTAATTTGTATTTCTGGATTCAAATCAATGAAATAACAGTTCCTGTCCCATGAAGGTCTTCAGAGACAGGTTTTGGTCGGAGGCCGAGTTCATTACACCATGGCAACTCCAGAGTGGAATAAGGTCCAGCCCCTCTCGAGGAGATCGATTTCAGAGCTCATGCTGTGCGTCGAGGTGACCCCAGCTATATCTAGTCGGTACCTCTCAACCTTGCGCACAAACTCAGGCTCCTTCCCTGCCAGAGAAGTTACATTCCATGTTCCAAGAGCCAGCTTTAGTAAGCCAGGGTCAGAGCGCTATGGTCCCTGCCTTTGGCCACTGCCCATAGCATCATGCACCTGACTTTTATGGCCCTTCCTGCAGGTGGTGGGTCCACAGAAAGGCAAACCCATGCTGCTCCTTCGGGCTGAGCCTTACCTGTCTGGTGACCAGGTCACCAGGCACTCGCCGATGAGCCCCTCCCCTAGGCCTGGCTCTAGGGCGGGGCCCCGATAACCCACGTCTGGGCAAGGGACACTGAGTTCCTTGTTTTGTTTTGTTCATAAAAATTTTCTGAATCACTCTTTGTCTGGCCTGTCACCTAGGACCAATCTGCCTTGGGAGACCCTACCAGGGGCAATTATAATTGCCCCCGACAGCATAGCTCCTAGGATCATTCAGGTTCACAAACTCCTTCCCCACAATAAGGTGGTGATTCAAGGAGAAGGCATTTAGACTCGTCACTTAAATTTATTTAAAGTAGTGTTTCTCCTCATAATTCTGGAAATATTTTGGTACAAATCATCCGTTTCAGTATTTAGACGTAGATAATTGAGATTTTGTCTAGCCTTTATAGTACAGTAGTCCTCGCTACCTCGCAGTTCATTTTTCGCGGACTCGCTGTATTGTGGTTTTTCAAAATAAGATTGGACATGACACACAACTGGCTGATTGACGAATGAGCCACACGATCAGCATGGAATTTTTATTTTAAATAAATTATTTTAAATTATTTAGCACCTGCAGCAACTTTGTGCAGCCCACACTGCAGGATAAACTTCCTCCTGCAGCTGATCAGCTGTTCTTCGTGCAGAGCGGATTAATGGGCGTGACCGAGACCACTTGCAGGTGGCTGAGTACAGCTGAGGCAGGGAGCTGAAATCATGACATTCTGTGCTCCTTTAGAGCGTTTAGAAACATTGTTTAGAATATTTCAAAAGTGTGGGAAGGGTTTAAAATACCGCAGGGCAGCCAGTGCAGGACCCGAAAGTCCCAGGTTCGATCCCTGGTCACTGCATACTTTGTGGTGTCTCTGGGCAGCACACCTTATCCCCAAAATGCCCCTCGGGCGCTTTCAATAGCTACCCACTGCACCACCTGGTGGTGGATGTGTTAAATACAGAGACTAATTTCGCCATTGTATGGAAACATACAGTGCTGACA